ACTAGTGTCTGCTTACAACTGTTCCTCTTCCTTTGTATTTCCATGGTTGACAGTTCTACCTAGGTTGCCCTTTCTGTTCGTCTACGTGCATTGTGTTGAGCTCTTTTAAATACATGCATTTGACTGTTCATAATATATTTAAAATACTACTATTATTCCTGAGTAGTTTTAATAATTGTGTCAATTACTCCAATTTTGTCAGAGTCAGTAACATGATGATTTTAAAAAGAAAACTATATTTTTAAAAATTATTTTGAAATTTGTATTGGTGGTGTTTAATCAATCTTTAATAAAAATTATATATCAAGTGTTCTTGGATGAGATTGCCTGGTATCACCAGAGATTTTTTTTTTAAATTTATTATTAATTTCAGTAAAAATTTACAGAAACTTTGGATTTCCATTCATTCATTGTTGCACTTTTCTCCCCTCCCAACCCTCCCCCTAGTACACTACCCTCTTGTAAAAGTAAAAAAAAAAAATCTTTCATTGTTTTACAAACCCTTCCCCAGGTCCCCTCCACCATGTGTAGCCTTTGCTCTAGACCACCAGAGATATTAAAGTCCATGCACAATTCTATAATTTTCACAAATTTCGGTAATTGTCAACAATGAAAATGAAAGTTTACAGAGAATTTAAGGGGTGTATTTTTTTGTTTTGTTTTTTATTTTTTGGGGGGGTGTAACTTAAGAAATTGAATGTTTTCTGATTTATTTTCTCCATTTAGAACCAAAACTTCAACTCAACTATGAATCAGATTCAGATTCTGAAGAATCGAAGAAGCCAAGATATAGACATAGGCTTTTGAGGCATAAACTGACTGTAAGTGATGGTGAATCTGGAGAAGAAAAAAATGTAAGGCCTAAAGAACATAAGGAAACCAAAGGCAGAAATAGGAGGAAGGGTAAGATATTTTAACTGTACATATTAAAGACATAATGGTTTTATAAACTAATTATAATAATGACATTTTAGTGTATCTACTCATTAATGTCACAAGGCAAAATTGTGAGGAGGCCAAGGATGAGGGGTTCAAGGTTGTGATCCGAAATCTCTGCATGAGACCAGCGCCATTCCAAACTAGCTCATTTGGGTGTATCTATAACCTTTTGCTAGTGAGTAGGCAGAATGGCAGTGGGGAGGCAGAAGATATCTTTATTCCCATTCCACTGACAGGTGACTTGACAGAGTTTTGGAAATTATCGAACAAAGTCCCTAATATCATATGCAAGGAAGATCCTGCTGAAGATTATCTAGAAATGATTGGATTAGTAACTAAGTTTAAGTACATCAACTGCCAGATGTGCAAGAGGCTATGGCACTAGGGACATCATAATCAACATGATATTAATCTTGGCTGAAAGCAGATAGTACCAGAGTAATGTCTGTCTGTGTTTCATTGACTATGCAGAGGCATTTGACTCTGTGGATCACAACAAACGGTGGCTAACTTTGAGAAGAATGGTTATCCCAAAACACTTAATTGTGCTCTTGGGAAATTTATACGTGGACCAGGAAACAGTAGTCAGAACAGAACAAGGAAACACTGCATGATTCAGTATCAAGAAAGATGTGTGTCATGGATACATCCTATCTCTATACCTTTCCAATCTATATGTAGACTAGATGTTTTGGGAAACTCGACTTTGTGAGGAAGAATGTGGTATTAGGATGGAGAAAGAGTCATCAAGAACTTGAGTCATGCACATAACACAGCCTTGCTTGCTGAAACTGAGGAGCATGTGAGGCGTGTGCTACAAAAGGTCAAAGATTGTAGTCTTTAGTATAGATTGAAGCTTAGTATCAAGAAAACAAAGATTATCACTACCGGGCCATTTGGCAACTTCATGATGGACTGAGATTGAGATTGTTGATAACTTCAGCTTGCGTGGCTCCACAACCAACACTCTTTTGACACCATTCAAGAAATAAAAAAATGAATTCCATTGGGAAAGTCTGATGTCAGTACTAGAGTACTGAAGAGCAATGCTGTCAGTCCAGAGACTAAGGTGCATCTGATCCAGGCCATTGTCTTTGCAATTATTAGCTATGCACAATAACTTAAGAATGATAAAATAAGGACTGATGCCTTTGAATTGTAGTGCTTGAGAAGAGTGTTGAACATATGGTGGACTGTCAGGAGAACAAAGGCAGATCTGACCTGAAGAGCGTGAAATCAAGGTGCTCCTTGGAGGCAAGGAATTTGAAGGTCCGTCTCACATACTTTGGGCATGGGCCGGAGGGATCAGTCCTTGGAGAAGGACATCATGGTTGGAAGGGTGTTGGAACAATGTATAGGAGGACTTCCTAGGATGCGATGAATTTATTCATTCACTTGAAAAATGGGATTATGTCTGAGATGATGATTAGCTCATGATAGGGCGGGGTTCAGAACTGACATATGTAGAGGCTCTATTAGTTGAGATGTAACATTAATTCAGTAATAAGGCAGCACGGAATGACAAAGCAAAATATTACAATGAAATGTGTGAGGAGATAGAGTCGGAAAATCAAAAGGGCCGAACTCGCTCAACATTTCATAAGCTCAGGGAACTGAAGAACAAATTCAAACTTAGAGTTGATATAATCAAGGATGCTTTAGGCAGAATATTAAATGATCCTGGAAGTATTAAAAGAAGATGGAAGGAATATACTGAGTCATTATACTGAAAGGAATTGGCAGATACAGAAGAATTTAATGAAATAACATTTGAGCAAGAGCCTATGGTGATGAAGGCAGAAGTTCAAGCTGCTTTGAAGGAAATAGCGAAAAATAAGGCCCCAGGAATAGATGGAATACCAGTCGACATATTTCAGCTCACAGATGCTGCCCTGGATGTGCTTACCAAGTTGTGCCAAGAAATCTGGAGAACAAACACTTGGCCAACTGACTGGAACAGATCTATATTTGTTCCCATTCTAAAGAAGGGTGACCCAACTGAGTGCGGAAACTACAGAACAATATCATTGATTTCACATGCAAGCAAGATTGTACTGAAGATTATCCAAAAACGACTGGAACAGCACATCAGCAGAGAACTTCCGGAAGTCCAGGCTGGGTTTAGAAGGCATCGTGGTACTAGGGATATTGTAGCTGATGTTAGATGGCTCTTAGCTGAAAGCAGGGAATACCAGAAGATTGTCTATCAGTGTTTTTTGACTGCATGCATCATAACAAACTGTGGCTGACTCTGGGAAGAGTGGGAATCCCAGAACACTTGATCGTTCTAATGCGAAACCTATACTTGGGATAAGAGGCAGTCTTCAGAACAGAGCTTGGTAACACTGCATGGTTCAAAATTGGGAAGGGTGCACGCCAGGCATGTATCCTATCTCCATACCTTTTCAACCTGTATGCAGAGCAGATTATCCGAGAAGCTGGGCTCTGTGAGGAGAAGTGTGGTTTCAGGATTGGTGGAAGATCTTTTAACAATTTGCGTTATGCAGATGACACAACCCTGCTTGCCGAAACTGAGGAGGACCTCATGCACTTGCTGCAGAGGGTCAGGGACTTCAACCTTCAGTACGGACTGAGGCTCAATGTCAAGAAGACAAATATTCTCACCACTGGACCAATTAGTAGCATCAGGATGGATGGCGAAGAGATTGAGATTGTTCATAGCTTCCGTTTGCTCGGCTCCACAGTCAACACTCTTGGCACCAGCAGCCAGGAAATCAAAAAACGTATTGCCATGGGAAAGTCTGCTGTTAGGGACCTCTTAAAAGTACTCAAGAGCAACTGTGTCTCTCTGGAGACTAAGGTGCGTCTGGTACAGGCCATGGTCTTCGCAATCACTTCTTATGCATCAGAGAGTTGGAGAATGACTAGGGACAATAGGAGAATTGACGCCTTTGAGCTGTGATGCTTGAGAAGAGTACTGAATGTACCATGGACTGCGAAGAAAACAAACAACTTCATCCTGGAGAGGGTCAAACCAGGCTCCTCCTTGGAGGGAAGGATTTTGGGACTTCGTCTGACATTCTTTGGACATATTCTAAGGAGAGACAGGTCCTTGGAGAGTGACATGATGCTTGGTAGTGTAGAGGGACAGTTCAGGAGGGGAAGACCCTCTATGAAATGGATTGATTCAGTGACTGGGGTAATCGGAATGGGTGTGTAAGAGGCAATGCGATTGGACAGGATAGAGCAGGGTTTAGGGCTATTGTACATAGGGTCGCTATGAGTCACAAACAACTCGACGGCACATAACAAAAATAACAATAACAACATCTGCACTTTGCCAGTTTAAGTACACTGAGAACACCGTCATCATGCAGTTTTCTGAGAGTCAAATAGACTGTTAATAAGACGATATCCAGACACTTGAGGTGACACAAAGAATATTATAAGTTTTTAGTCTTATGTATTTGGAGTATAAAATAAAAATGACTTAATAAAATAAGCTAAAGCTATTTAGAAAAGATCAGATTGCATATACCTGCCAAAAGAAATAGAGATGTTGGAGAAATAAGAAAATACAATTGATTTAGGTAAATTTTTATAAGCTTGTATTAGAAACTTGTCTTATATATTATGAGACTAATTTTTCAAAAATAGCTAGAATCCTTTTGCATTGACTGCATTTCTAACATCATAGGAAATTCTGAAGATGCAAAAATTGGTCATTGTTTAGTATACTTCCTTACAGTCTAGCCAGGGATGCATCCTATCTCTATACCTTTTCAACCTATATGCAGAACAGATTATCCGGGAGGCTGGGCTCTGTGATGAGTAATGTGGGCTCAAGATTGGTGGGCGATCTATCAGCAATCTGCGTTTTGCAGATGACACAACCCTGCTTGCTGAAATGGAAGCGGACCTGAAGCGCCTGCTGCAGAGTGTCAAGGACTGTAGCCTACAATATGGATTGAGGCTCAATGTCAAGAAGACAATATTCTCACCTCTGGACCAATTGGCAGCATCAGGATGGATGGTCAAGAGATTGAGATTGTACACAGCTTTAGTTTGCTTGGCTCCATAGTCAACAGTCTTGGCACCAGCAGCCAGGAAATTAAAAGGCACATTGCAATGGGAAAGTCTACTGTTAGGGACCTCTCCAAAGTGCTGAAGAGCAATGGTGTCTCCCTGGAGACTAAAGTGCATCTGATACAGGCCATGGTCTTCGCAATCACTTGTTATGCATCAGATAGTTGGACAATGACCAAGGAGGATAGAAGGAGAATTGATGCCTTTGAGCTGTGGTGCTGGAGAAGAGTATTGAGAATACCATGGACTGCTAGGAAAACAAACAGATTTGTCCTGGAAAGGGTTAAACTGGGTGGCTTCTTGGAGGCAAGTATACTGAGGCTCCATCTAACATACTTTGGACATGTTGTGTGGAGAGACCGGTCCTTATAGAGGGACATCATGCTTGGGAGGGTGGAGGTACAGGGTAGGAGGGGAAGGCTCTCTATGAGGTGATTTGATTCAGTGACTGGGATAAATGGGATGGGAGTGTCAGAGACAGTGCGATTGGCACAGGACAGAGCGGAGTTTAGGGCTGTTGTACATAGGGTCGCTATGAGTCACAAGCAACTCGACGGCACATAACAACAACAACACATAAGATTGCTAGAAGAATTTTAAAATAAGCTTTAGACTGTGCTCTGTCCTAAGCCTGTTACAGCATAATAATTGTTGGTGTAATCTATAGGTATTGATATGTTTGGAAATTCTTCACTGACCTTCATTATGTTGACAGGTTTCAAAGTCATGGTTTAGTAAGGGTTGTTACCATCAGTCTAAAAATTATAGCCGTAAGCGGAACATTGTGTAGAAGAGAATTAATGTATAATTTATCACAGAGAAGATTTGCTTAACTTCTTCAAGCAGGGTAGAAATTGATCTTAGAGATGATATTACAAAGAAATTTGAAGAAATGGATTCCAGGCAGCAGACTAAGT